ATTCGACTTTGACACCGTGCTTTTGTATGAACCTTGCTGGGTAACCACTGAGCTTTAGAGCTTCCATGAGCCGAATTAGCTCAATTTCCACATTATCCGGAGTACACAGCCTCCTAGCCTGATCAAACAAGGTATGCACGAGACCTCAAACGCGAAGTGTTGTAGGTCATTATCCTAAATGTTTATGCAGCAGAATTTGTCGGTTCACTGGATGCAATGCTTTCAGATAATCCACATCTACCGGATTTGTTTCGTCTAATGTTCTGATCCATTCATCTAGAACAGAAGGCAATTCGGTAGCACTGGCTCAATTTTGCCGGGACCTATTTAAAGCTGATAAAATAAGGTTATACTATTCTACGTGTTGCACCGTTGCATCTGCCCCAATCGACTCCGTGAAGGAAGGTTGCAGAATGCCACTGGGTGAATTAATACCTAAATTTTAACATTCAAGAAGTGCTATATTGTTGATCATCCGTTAGAAGAGAACGCAAAATGGAGTCACATAAGTAATTCCTCGACCAAATGAAGGTCAGCGGATTCGTATTCCCCATACATTTTTCGCAAAATCAACAGATCCGTTTTTATTTTTTTGGGTGACAAATCTTACGGTGGTCAGTGAAGGCTATGGAAGATGCTAGAAATCCCTGTGATGACCGACAAAGAGTCCCGGACGGATGTTTCATGTCTTTTGGGGATTTGTCAGAAATGCGGGCTTTTGTTCCTGCCGGGATTTAAACTGTGATCTCCGCAGAAATAAAACCCACAGTTGGGTTCATCAACGAAACCCGATGTCTGTGAAAAACCGAATCCAATAACCCAAACATTCATTTTCTAGAAATCAAAGATGTTTGAACTGAGGAAGAAGTCACAAACCTTCAATACTTGGAGTAGTAAAACCTGGGCACATTGGTTTTGCTGCATTTGAGACGATTTCTATGTAGTGAATAGGACTCTCCCAGTAAAACACCAGAAGTTTATACTTTGCCTGCCAATATCACGTAGTATGTTTCTAAAAGAGCTTGTGTTTATCGCGGTACTAATAAAACCAAGGATGATTGCATGATTGAAATCCTAGATAGCCGTGCATTCCGACAAAGGGTTGGTCAAAATAACTCACCACACAGTGACGTACCGAGTGTGGTGTTGTATTCAGTAGAACTCGTAATATACACGTAAGTAAATCCTTTTTAATTAGCAGAGAACGGTAGCAACGTGATTCATGAAAATTAGCAGAAGCATGTCCTCAGCCGGTACTGGCCGTACAAGTAATCTGCAGTCATCCAATCAATACCAAGCATACACGTGGTGCAGTCTGATTGGTCAATGTAATCAAGGTTGCATGTGAGGAACGTCCATGTCACGTGCGTGTATGTCTGTGTCTGTGTGTGTGTGTATCGAGTATTGATGTTGCGCGTTCAAGGGGGCAATGAATACAAATGTTATCGAACAAATGCGTTAAACAGCACAACATGTGGTACCATAGGTTATCATCTTTTGTCCGAGCGACGTTCAAATAGTGTGGCCACGTGGATACCGTGACACGAAGGCGATCATTGTTTGGTCCAGTTGATAGAACCTGTCACTAAATGTAAAAATGCAAATTATTGAGTACAATAGTTGAATCAGACAACACTTCGGGAATCTGGAATAAAATGATGAACGAAAGAAAGTACTTGAGTTCCATTATGATGAAGTATTTCAGATCCTCTGTTCCATGTTAGAGGGTGATATACTAGACCAGCGATGAACTCTTGAGGTTGCAATACACGTTGACCTGTAACCATCCAGATGTGTTCCTCATGCTTTAGCAGTTGATAGTTAAATCTCAATAGAATTACTGCGTACACGAATGGGCACGGTATTTTAAGAAAAGGTTGCAGCGTTTGGCAACCCGAATGACAGAAAAGTAGATGGTAATAGTGACGAATCGAGAACTACTTTGTCTCATTCTGGCTCCGCTAACTCGAACGGGAATCCGGGCAAACTTGATAAAAGCTTTCAAAAAAGCCAATGGATGATATCTGACTTGAACTTGGAAAATATTTTAGCCTATAACTCTGAAAATAGTAGCACGGCTAAAGTCAATTTGTTCATCAACGGGTTAGTATCACTGTCAAACAATCTATCGTAGGAGTGGATTAGCTGTATCAGAATTGAAACCTTCTTTCAGTAAGATATTTGGTGCTGAGAACACAAATTGGCAAACAAGCTCGTTTTCATTGTGTCATAATCATGCCACTACAACACAATAAACATGACTAATAACAGAGAAGGATTTACAACGAAAGAAAAGGGAAATTTATAAAAGAATTCAACAGTTTGTGTCATAATTGGTCCCCAATTATTATTTGCACCTATGTTTCCTGACTAGTCACTTGACGGCAATCCCGCCACTGGAGCTTAAGTGCTTATTTGTGTACCGATATTGAAAGTAACGGGATTGGCGTAGGTCTACCGGTAGATGACCTAAAACAACAGTTATTCTTCTGCACTCACAAAGTGGATTTCACTTTCAATGAGGAAATCTATCGCCAGAAGTACGGTGTAGCAATGGGGTCCCCGAAAGGGCCTTTTTGCCGATGTTTTCATGTCTAAACTAGAAGACGGTCCGCTTAAAGCATATCGAACAATGCATAGTGTACAAGCGTTACGTAGACGATATTTTGTGCGTGGTTGATCTGACAACGGCCTACCAACATATACTAGATCACTTCAATGCTGTGCATCGCAATTTGAAATTCACGAAAATGAAGCAAACAATCAACTAGCATATTTGGATGCTTGCCTAACTCTTCATGATGACGGTATGAAGAAAAATCTCATAATGTTTGATCAATAGAGCCGGAAGAATTTGTACGAAGAACATACTGGTTGAAGAACTCCAAAATGTGCGGAACATCTTTATCCAGAATGGATACTCGGAGCGCTTGGTGGAATCTGTCATGCAACGACAAGAGGTGTTTCCCAAGAGGATAATTGCTGAGAAGAAGTCTGTGCACATTTCTTTACCATTTAAAGGCGACACCTTCGCAGAGCTTGTGCACAGAAGGTTATCAAATGCCATGAACAAAACGTTCTACGCGGCAAATCTTCAAACTCGATTCATATCTCGCCCGTTGGTGTATTTACGGTTGAAGAATGGAGTGCCCGATTCTGCTGCCTCTTTCTGTATGTATTCTTTCACTTGCTCCTGTGGAGCAAAGTATGTTGACCGCACGACCAGGTGTCTGTCCAAGCGCATCCGTGAGCATCACCCTGCGTGGTTGCAAAGTGGAGTAATTAGGACAGTCACAAGTGCGGTCGCGTCACACCATGTCAACACTAATCACATTGTAAACGTGACCGAAGTGTTCCGACCCCTAAATAGAGTTAAAACGGGACGTTTCAGACACGTGCGGCTTCGCATTCTAGCCATAGCGGAGTCAGTTTCCATTCGTCTTCACAATCCTCCTCTGTGGGCTCAGAAACAATTTGCGCAAGCACTCAAGACCCCATGGCCGGATTGCCGTCAAGTGACTAGTCAGGAAACATAGGTGCAAATAATAATTGGGGACCAATTATGACACAAACTGTTGAATTCTTTTATAAATTTCCCTTTTCTTTCGTTGTAAATCCTTCTCTGTTATTAGTCATGTTTATTGTGTTGTAGTGGCATGATTATGACACAATGAAAACGAGCGTGTTTGCCGGTTTGTGTTCTCGTTATGAGCTCTGTGGCTGTTGAATCTGTTTGCTACCCTCCGCACGTTTTCGTCCACCAATTTGACGATTTTAAGTTAGATTTGAGAAACTATAATTTTCATTTGCGAAACTGTCATTTGGAATAGCTAAATCATAACTTGGAATTGAGAAAGAATCGCTGGGGTGGGATCCGCTTCCTTTCAGCGCACCTCATTGATCAATTGATCACATTTTTTCTATCCCGGATTGATCGCCTGTCTTCCCACGCTCTTTCTGTGTTGAAATGAGGCACACCTCGGTCGTGCATCCTATCGAGCTCTGTGACGGACTTCGAATCGGTGGGTCGGTGAAGCCATGCCATTTGCGTGTGACAACCAAGTCGGGCGCCACTCGATAAGCATGAGGGGTGACGCACTGTTTCATGTCCACTACAGCTAAAGTACATTTGGTCGTTATTAGATCCGTGAAGGAAAACGTTTGGATTAGCCGCGACGATGAAAAAACCAAAAACAAGTTTTTTTTGGTCGTAGTTGCTCTAACACTGACGACAGCTCAATAATCAAAGCTGACCACAGTAACTACGACCAGGGACGAGTTTTGGGCTCACGGTGCAATCCGAGCGATGTACGACAATCATGGGTCTATGTGGATAACAATATTTGTTCAGTGACAGAGGTTGGAGTTCTTGAGGTGAAGTTGGGTGAATGGGTTGGCTGTCATCAATGGCTTAGCAACCAAAACCAGTTAAGCCTTGAGTGTACCTCCCCCATTCCTGGCTCAGCCCCCAGAACTGAACGAAACAGAACACAGTCGATCTGTTTGTTAAAAAGGGTTACTCGTTTTCAGAATAAGTATCGTTGCGTAAGAAACATCGACAAATGACATTTTTTATCACACAATGTGAATTACAGTAAAAAGGGAAATCCCCATGGCCAAATAGTATACTTGTAAAGAGAGAGTAGGGGAACATTCACGTAAAATCCAGGTTATTGATTCTGCGTTTAAAAGGTGTACGATTGTAAGTTGGTGAAAAACAGCAAGTGGGAGGATGTTCGGGGGAGAAAAATAAGATTGGAGCAGAGAGAGAGATACGATATCTGGGAACAGAAACCTGATAAGGATGACTGGATGCCTGTATACGGGATGGGCGGATAAAAGTTGCAGGAAGAGGGACGTCAAATCTTCAACGACGAAGGGGACAAAAATCGTGCGTCTATCATTTCGCTAAATCGTGAATGAGGCCTGTGAACAAAATTCGGGACATTGAATATGACTGTAGGAGGATGAGTCGTGTCCTCTGTCCATTGGCGACCGGTTCAATGGCAGTTCTCACGAGTACCGTTTAACACGGGTTGGATGAGATAGAGAACGATACCATTCGGATTGACCGGAACGGTCACTTTTTGATGGTTCGAGACCACAGCAAACTCTGTTCCGGTGAATGCGTCGATCAACTTGGAATAGCCGGACGGTGCATGGGGTAGTACAGAGAATACTGTTCGCATGCTAAATGCAAAGGATACCGTGATGCCACCGGAGTTCATATTGATAATGGTTAATGCACCAACGGTGCTTGGAATACTCTTTAGTTGGCGAATCCAAAACTAGCAGATAGGAAGAATAAAGCATAAATATATAAATTTGAACAGAATACGAGACCGTGCAAGGAACGGAACGGTGCAAAAGATTAGCCTCGTTGATTCAGAAACGTGTCAACCAAGCCCATTGAACCATCGATTCCCTGACTAGGTGAAATTATACATTTAAGGTTTGAAAATAGTTCCATGCACTAAATTATTTTCTTCATTTAACCGTAACTATGGACATCGTAGTGTACTAAATAAGATATCCATACAAGGGGATCATCTACGTAAGATTTTTCTAGAACTTTCGGCACTCGCTCAGATAGTTCACTGGTGGTGGATTAATTTTTTGTGTAATCATGTGGTCTGGAAATAGTTATAGGCAAATTCCTTTGCAAAAGTTCCAAGGTCGACCCAACCGGACGAGCGGAGTGATCAGCCTAGTGGACATTCCTTCCTCCTCGCTTAATGCCGGATCGTCATCAAAACTGTAATCCTCGGGATCGAATTTACCCAACTTCGTGTTGTCAGTAGCTTCGGGTGGTTCATCTCTACCGAATGTGTATGTGTGAGCACAATCAACGAAAAGCACTCATTCACTCATTCAGCCACACATTCACGTCACATTCATATGCACTCGGCAGTTCAGTGAATATCTGATTTCCGCTTCCTTGTGAAGTTCGTTTGTTCGTTAATTTTTTTTATCCATTCGGTTTTTGCGCCGAAAAGATGATTGAAAGATTTTGGCTATTCGCCAATCTACCGCATTTATCGGACCGCCTTTCGAGAACCAATCCGATGTTAAGGAAACGAATGTGAATACTTTATACTTGATACATCCTAAAAGTTTGTTATGGGTGATATTTCGCACCAAGAAATGTGTACCTCAACTTGTCTTGTTCGTTAATCTGTCCTTTTTGGTTACACATCGCCTACAATGGACAACACGTGACGGAAGTGATTCCTCCAAATCCAAGGCTTATCGTCTTATTTCACGGTTTTCTGATCTTTTGCGAATTCGGGAGTTCAGAAATCACGCTTACTTGTTATTGCACCATGCGCCCACGAGTACTCGGCTGTGCTTCCCAAGAAAAAGTGTGCTGAAGGCTAACTGCCACACATCTGGTGCATCTGATCCTCTGCCAATGGACAATCCCCATGTAATTCCGATCGTCTTCCCTCATGCAAAACGTGAAGTGACACATCCCCATGATTTCCCAGCCGGAATTCACATTGTTTTCCTTTACATTCGTAATCTTCAATGTATTCGTTCTCAGTACTTCCACGTCCCGTTGTATCCCACCTCACCCTGTGCCTGTTTCACTCATTTAACGATGCACCAATTATTTGACCTCTTTCTTCATCGTTCACATGCCGTGCACTTCTTTTACACGCTTTGTCGCTAAATACATTTGCCCAGACCTTGTCCGGTTGATCTTAGCCCCCCCCCCCCCCCCGTCCCCCGTTAACATGTTCATCAACCAACTCGTTTCCGTC